GAATATAATACTTTTTTCGCAACTGTATTAGTTGCGTCTTCAACTGCGATGATCTTCTTGACATTTATTCTATAATAAACAATTATGTCGGTCTCAGTCGGTGGAGGAGGGAGGCAATTCCCGTGTGGACTAGCTAAAACATTATTTTAATTACAAAGGGTTCAACAAGTACGTTATAATTTCAGGACTTTTTTCCTGACAGTTTGTTTGGAACAAGAGTTTCTATTGCTGGCAATCTTTTAACTATGATGATTCAACATTCCTTGAGAAAACTTTCTCAGAAAAAAATAAACAACCTGGTTTGTTGGTTTCAAAATGAAAATAAGAATGAAATGAGCCCCTGTGCTACTCTCTCATCAACGCCCTTCCTTTCTTCTTGGGGTCGGAAGGGGGAAACTGTTGAAAGTTGAAACTCTGGGTGGGGTGACCTTTTACAGAAAGAAGAAAAGCCACCGCGAGTAGTCTAAAACCGACGATTGTTGATGTTGTATAACTTTGATTTTTAGCTGGGGATCTAAACTATAAGGTCAAGTATACAGCAAAAACCTGGGATGCTACTCTTGCAGACAAGGGGAGCTCCAGTTTTACAAAATTCGCAGCCAAAATTGGTCAAGATGTAAGTACTTTGTAGTCCTTGTTGTTGTTGTTGTCACCGTTCTTGTTATTGTTGTAGTTTGTTGTTATGGATAGCTCTTTTTCACTTTTCCTAATAGATTCTTTATTAATTGTTTTCTGATTCATTAAACTTACACGAAACTTCTATAATCAACAAATTGCATCTCAGGTAACTGAACTTTACAGCAAAGCATCTCAAGCTGTGGCAGTCGAAGTGTTATGGTTCAGGTAGTGTCTTCTAAGTATAATTGACAATTTTAAGATTTATAAGCTATTCACGGCGATACCTGAAACATTTTGCTTACGTTTTATACGATGTTCAGACTCGCTTGTTTAAACTCAATAGAGAAACATCAAACATCAATAGAGAAGAGCTTGGAGAAGTGCCTGAGCTGTGAGGCCGGTAGAGCCCCGAACTGCAGAAGAATGCAATGCGTAACCTTGACAACCCTGCGAGTAGAATCCACCCAGGCACCGTTACATTACCTCACTACTCGAATCTGGTGATTTGACAGCTTTTGTTGTGTTCAACCAATCAAATTATTTGGCCATTCTAAAAAGGATTGGTGGCTTATTTAACCAGGTTTTATGAGAGTGTAGACCATTCGGACGACACTCTCTGAAAATAAAGTTGAAGTAAAAAAATAAATTATTTTTTATATATACTTCACAAAATAAAGTTTGTTGCAATGCGAGAAAATTTAACGGATTCTTTATCATAAAACAAACAATAAAGAAGCCGTGACGGTGCTCTGTTGTAAAGCACTTGAGAATGGCTCGAGTTGCGAAGAAGTAGGGAGAAACACTCGACTACGTCCCGTTCACACAATACCAAGTGGCATTTCGAGCGGAAACGAAAAACTATCCGGTAAAGTATGAACACCTATGTATCCGTAGCGTCACTACCCAGGTCTGGGTAGTGATTCTGTTTTAGTCGTGCCGTGTAGGAAATTTGATTCACCTTATCAGAAGCACAACCAAGATCTGGGTTGTGACGCGTCATCAGTGTGAAATTTCTGCGCTTGTTTCTCAAACGTCATTTGGAGCGGAAACCAGTGGCAGCGTCGCCAAATGTCGGCTGTTTTCTCAGGCTAACGTATTTGATATCTGACTGTCCACTTTAGCGGTCGGCGCGGCTGCAGCTGTGCTCTGAGTAACAGAAATCGCGCCGAATATACCGTTCGTACAAGAAACCTCATCCGATAAGATTTTCGTGCCGACCCGAAAGCTATCCGCTATATCCTAAATCAGTGACGTTTCTCGTTTAAAGCATATGAAGGCAACACGACGTGTGGCTGGAACCCGAAGCTACAAATCCGAAGTTCGAGATGAAAAGTACAAATGGTTTCTTTCTTTTCGAAATTTTCATTCATTGATTGTTTATCTTCTGCTTCAACTTTCAGACAAGGAAGTGTAGTTGTCAGCTTTAACGTCAGTTACGCGGCAGTAGACGCGCTACAGATCGTCACAATGCAAGAGCAAATTGAAAGTGGAGGAACGTTAGGTGGTAGTCCAGCAGTGCTAATAAACATTTCAAGCAACTACGGTAAGGAAGTTCTGAGTACTCAAACCACAGGTTGCCGAATATCTTACCTAGCTAATTAATCATTCGCAGGGCAACAATTATAAGACGTTGTATGACAATTATTATATTTCCCTATAACTGAGCGAAATTGCATTGCATTTGTCCTTTTCTTTTTGTTCATTGTTTATTTAATGGCATCTGCTGACGGAGCAAAGTGGACGAAAGACAACTTGGGTACCCAGAGTGTGAACAAAGCACCATTTTGTACCCGTGCCCGGGTACTAGTGCCCTGGTACTAGGTGTGAACGCATCCATAGTGAGCTTGAGCTACATGTGCTCAAATCATTCTACATTAATAGCTAGGTTAGCGTTATTTCCACAATTATTTCATTCGACTACAACTTTAAGAATACCACTATTCTTTCTCCTTTTTTTAATCAAAATTTGTTAACTTTGGTGAGCATTCAATGACAAAAGCCAAAATTTCCATAAGAAAAATTGTTAAAGCATAGATACTAGCGTTACCCTTGTCACTGAATCTCGCAATTAAGCATTTTCGAACCACGTAAAGCAGATACGCACGACTATGATAAGAAAGTTCATACCTTTTTTCAATTGGCATTGAAATTATCCAGCATTCAAAATCATTCCCCTCTGTTGATAAAATGACGAAAATAATTCAAACTTACCGCCTTGGGTCTTACAATGACTTGACTTTCCTACAACGCTTTTAATTTTGGAGCACTTTGAGTTGGCAACGCAATCGTAAACGGCCTTGCGAGTCCCATGTAGCAAGTTATGTCATCCATGACAAGCGGTTTTAATTTGCGTTTCCATTTGTCCTTGTGATCGTGGAAGAGGATTATGTAGATTTAGATTGCCAAAGGTAAAAAATGGTTGAGGAACAAAGCCATAATGGCGGAAATATAGCTGAGGAAGAAAATATCAGAGAACGTGAATTCTCCTTCCTACAGTTTGGTTTTCGATATTTTATATTGCACGACTGTTTCCTTCGAAATGAGGAGTGTCAAATAACAGAATATGTAAACAAATATTTGTTCCAGCACAGCCACTAGCGTTTATATATCTTTCTGCGATGAAAAGTGGTATTTTTTTGCGTGTCAGTACGTAAACCCTTTCCGTACCAAGTGGTCACTACTCATCAAAGAAAGGGAACTGATAGCAGGCAAACTCCTAGAGAATGAAGTCGGGCTGGTTGCAAATCTAATGATCCGTAGTAAACACATCCACCCCGCCAGAAGAGTCTTTCTATCTCTTGCTCGATTTTGGTGTACTCGAGAAAAGGGGGCTGACTGCTCACAGGATGATGGTTGTCTAGTAAACACAAATAGACTCCCGCAGGGTAAAACAAATCAGATCATACTTAAGAATGTAGAATCTGAGTCAAACAGAGCGTTCACTATAAATCAGAAATGGGATGAAGTGTACTGTTCACTATCTTCTTACGTCTGTTCCGTGTACCTTCCTCTTTCTGAGTCCCTTCCAAAAACTGCTTGTATAGACTTAAAATGCTGTTGGAGACTATGTTTGGTCCCATGTTGTGTATATCCTTTCCATCGTATATTATGGCCCTTTTAAAAAAAAAAACAAATGAGGTATTTTTGTGGCTAAGCAGTGTTAGTAAGAAGAAGAAGAAGAAGAAGAAATAATAATAATAATAAAAATAATAATAATAAATCATTGTCCGAGTTGAAGCGCGCATCCTTTTGCGAGCAAGAAATGAGAAACGCGTATTGAAAATATTAAATTAAATAAGATTACCATTATGTCAAGATCATTGAAGTCCTTTCGAGCAAAGCGGATTCAACCAACCGTCACTTCTCAGACGGCTTAAATTTCTAAGAATGGAAAAAGGAAGCACTGAAGTAACTCGTGGAAACATATTTTATACAAAAAATGAAAACAGAATAGAACTCGAGCATCCGAAACATATTTTCCGACTCTCGGGTGATGAGGTATAAACAAATAACTTTGCAGATTTGTGACTTGGAATTAAATGCACGAAAGGTTAAGACTGATAATTACCATTACGTGTATTTGGGAGCCTCAATCAGGCTTCTTATTTTGGGCTAGCTGTGGGTAGACTACTGCGCATACTTCGATTTTTCCTTTGGAAATGATCGAAACAATGAAGATATTAACTTTGTTGACGAGGATAACTTCCTTCTTGAAAATATCATGTAAGCGTAAATGGATGATCGAGTCACTAAAGACGAACTTTCATTCCAGCTGGCTGGAATCCAGTGAAGACTGGGCTGTTGTAAAAACTTTACTCAGGTACCGATTGCTACAAAATGTGTTGTATCTGCACTTATCTTGTTGTGCTTTAAAAGAAACCGGGAAAAATTCGTATTTTATTCGTATATATTCGTATGTTAAATCCTAGAAAGGATTTAACATACATTTTTTTAATATTTCACTCTTTTGTTTTTGTTACATCTTTTCTATTACGTCACCACAATAAAATAAGTCTTTACTAAAAGTACGTATTATGCTTTAGTTATATCATCAGGGTTTTTCAAGTTTTATTGAAAAAGGATTTGTATTTGAAGACGCGATGCCTAAATTGTACCTGCTCAGAGGTAGTCATATTGAAGGTTTTTCAACACTCTACAAAACTTTGCATAATTATCGTACTTTATGCGACTAGTGAAGTAACAAATTTGCCACATCCCATAATTTTGGTAGCTCTTCTGAAAGCAAATTTTCTTCTCGATCGCTTTCAAAATATACATGGGTCTGCAGGATTCTGTAATAAAAAGACATATATACTTGACAAGCTATTTTGTTATCATGCCCACTTTTGTGTGAAATAAATACCTTATTTTACTTTGTAGTACCAAGTCAACCGCCTGCGATAACACAAGCAGTCAATACTACATCAACAACTATCTACCTGGAATGGACAGAAGTTACACAACTAAATCCTGCTAATAGCACTCTTCTTGGATATGGTATTGTGTATAAGAAAACAGGGGAGATTTTTCAAATAGGCTTCCTAAAATCCGTAAGCCCGGCACCACTTGAAGCAACGTTGGAGGATCTGGAAAAGTTTACAAATTATGCAATTCGAGTGTTTGCTTTTACTGATAAGGGGAATGGAGTTTCAAGCCAACCAGTCTCGTTACGAACGCAGGAAGATGGTAAGGTCAATTTAATTCTTGACACAGCTTTGCTCATCTGATAACTGGCCAGNACAAATTATGCAATTCGAGTGTTTGCTTTTACTGATAAGGGGAATGGAGTTTCAAGCCAACCAGTCTCGTTACGAACGCAGGAAGATGGTAAGGTCAATTTAATTCTTGACACAGCTTTGCTCATCTGATATCTGGCCAATATAATAAGGAATCTAATGTCGTACAGAAAATTTAAAAAAAATGAATCTTCGCGATCACGTGGTAGGCTCTAGAGTTTTTGCCAAAGAGAACCTCAAACACAACTAAAAGTTCTGATCTTTTTCCCAGAAGAAAAAATCAGAGAAAGATGTTAGGTATGGATATTTTATCCCATCTGACACTGAGAAAAAAATACCAGATTTAACTCTTACAACTGGTAGGCGTTGTTCGGGCATCTAGCACTCACACACTCGTCATTTTCAACCTGGGATATGTCATGACTTCCGAAGCTTGATACTTCAAAAAAGTATTCCTCGTAGGCTAATGACAGAGATATACCAAATGATATACCAAATAAAGCAGTCTCACATACCTTCAAACTTGTTAGATTATTGTCCTTTCCGTATAGAATAGAAGCACTAGCCCATATTTTGGATTTCGCATCATGTGCAACGTTCATGCGATCTCCTAATTAAATAAAAATGAACCAATAGGAAAGCGTCATCTTTCCACTGAGTCAAGTCTAAAAATCATCCAACCTGCCCAGGTGTCAATACCAGAACATCAGTACACACTAACCATTTTATCTAGTTTGGAATTTATCGCTGAAACAAGGTACCTTGTTCAATGGCTTGAGATTCTGATTTTCGGATGATTTGCTCTTGAAATTCTACTAAATCAGTCCTCTGAGGTTTTTTTAAGTCTTTTTCTCCACTCTCCTTTTGTCAGTCCCAAGTCAAAGTCCACCAAAAACAGTTGTTAAATCCACGAGTTCCAGTACGATTGATGTGTCCTGGGATGCAATCGAAGACTCTTACGTACACGGAATTCTATTGGGATACGAAGTAAGGTATACCAAGGATGACGGCTCAACTCACGCCTGGCAAACCATAACTTTGGATTCAAGTACATTTACAATCACATTAAGTGATCTGGAATATTTTACACGATACAAAGTCGTGGTTTGTGCCAGAACTTCTAAAGGATGTGGGAAAGAATACTCTGCTACTTCCTACACTTGGGGTGATGGTAAGTATAGTTCTGTTTACATTTTACCAGCCAGTTAGAGCATTAAAGCAGATAGTTGCTTTCAGTTTATCCTTCTCCTTCTTTGACTTTTTGTAATATAGCCTTTTAATGGCTATTTATGCGTAAGCTACAAGCTCGGTTCAGTTCTAAAAATGATATTTGGTACAGTCACTAATCTTTAAGCGCCTTGTTCTTCTACCATTGACACGCAAGTAGTAGTATAAGAATGAAAATGTATGTTGTTTTGAAGTGGAATCTCATTAGTTTGAAATGGAATACATTAACGTCGATGACGTCATTGCCTTTTGTTTTTATGTCATGAATAAAAAGCGGAGGAATCTCATTAAGCTTAGGGCGTTTGCTATTCATGTTATTATTATGGTTTAACCGGTCGGAAAGCTTTTCTTAGGGCTTTCCACAAGCTGCACGAGATTTTACAAAAAAATTTCCAGTAATTTCTCAAAATGTTGCTCAAAGTTGCTCAAAAAACAATCAAAAGCTGCTTTTTATAACGAAAGTTGCTCGAAAAAGCAAAAACCTGTTTTGGTCTGATGCCAAACCATACAAATTGTACAACAAAAGTAAGGTTTCTAAATAGCATTTTTGGGCAATTTTGCGACGTAAACAGCGTTGCTAATTAAAATTTGTCCTCATTTAAAACCAACTGAGCCAATAAAATTGTTAAATGACCTTCTTCCCTCTGTCGAGTTCGACTCTTCGTCCACCATTTTGAATTTTCTATAAAACCCGCTGACCTAACATGGAGCCCATGGTCTGGCCCAGGGGGGAGGATTTGGCCCCTTATTTTACAGGAAATTCATAAACTGTCGACTGAAACAGTGTGAAATATGGAAGAAAGACCAATTTAAGCACTAAAAGCTGTTTCGATATCTCAGAATAACAAGATTTACTAGAGAAATTGCTCAGAATGCAAAAAGTTGCTCGAAACTAAAAAGGTTGCTCGAAATAGAAGAAGTTGCCAGTTGTGGAAATCCCTAAGTTTTCTAGCTAAATGTACTTTAAGGTCGATAAATGTCTTGGTTTTCGATGGTTGATTAGAACATAAGACACGTTTTCATTGGTTAATTCATGGAGTCTGAGAAATAAACTCATACTTGCCTGTGACTTACAATCACTGAGCCGTAACATAATTATGCACGTTCTATTTTCTACCGCTGTCATTATCCTAGTTCCGGTTTACTGTTTCTTAGCGGGCAAATCGTGCTGCTAGTGAGGACAAAGCTAAACTAACTCTTTTTAGCGCAAAAGACAATGTTTTACTTACCCCTTTTTATTTCATTTTTATTTTCCCTCCACCACATCGACCCTATATCGACCTCAAATCAACCCCACATCGACCCTACATCAACTCCACATCGACCCCACATCGACCTTACATCGACCTTATTGTTTTCCTCTACCACCTCCACCACCACCACATTTCTATTGTTCCCCTTTTCCTCTTCCACCGTCGCCT